CAGCTTGTGGTTTTTCTGTGAAAAAAGAGAGTAGATGGATTTACAGATAAGGGGGCTTGACAGACAGACCAAAAAACAGAAAAGAAATGTTTGTGTACCAACGAAAACAAATTTAGGGGCGATGCTCAAACAAAAAATCACCTCTAATCTTTTTTTTATCAGCTGCACCCCCCCCAAAACCCCCCTGTATGCTCATCCAACGTTCCCGCTCCTTTTCATATGTTTTTCCTTTTATCTTAAAACATGTCCCCTCCAAGGGGGGGCCTTTTTTTTTTCAATTTCTTCAAGGGGAACCCTTTTTATTACTATTATTCTTCTCCTCCTCCTTCTTCTTTTTCCTTCTTCCCTTTTTCTCCTTCTTTTCTCCTTCTACTTCCTCCTTTCCTTTTTTTTTCCTCCTCCTTCTTTTCCCCCCCTTCTCCCTCCCCTCCCCCCTCCCCTCCTCCCCCCTCCTTTCCCCCTTTCCCCCTCCTCCCCTTCCTCCCTCCTCCTCCTCCTCCTCCTCCTCCCCCCTCCTCCTCCTCCTCCTCCTCCCCTCCAAACCTTTCCCCCTCCATCCTCCCCTCCTCCAACCTCCTCCCCCCATCCCCCCTCCCTCCGCCTCCTTCCCCCCATCCTTCTCCTCCATCCCCCTCCATCCTCCCCTTCCCCCATCCTCCCATCCATCCCCATCCTCCTCCATCCTCGTCCCCCATCCTCGTCCCCCATCCTTTTCCCCCCTTTCCCCCCTCCTCCATCCTCCTCCTCCTCCTCCCCACCCCTCCTCTCCATTCTCCTCCTTCATCCTCTCCATCCTCCTCCATCCTCCTATCCTCCATCCTCCTCCTTCCTCTTTCCCCCTTCCTCCCTCCTCCTCCCCTCCTCCACATCCTCCTCCCCTCCATCCTCCTCCCATCACCTCATCCTCCTCCCTCCTCCTCCATCCTCCCATCCTCCTCCCCTCCATCCTCCTCCTCCATCCTCCTCCTCCCCTCTCCTCCTCCTCTCCTCCCCTCCTCCATCCTCCTCTCCATCCTCCTCCCATCCTCCTCCTCCTCCTCCTCCATCCTCCCCTCCATCCTCCTCCTCCATCCTCCTCCCATCCTCCTCCTCCTCCATCCTCCCTCCATCCTCCTCCATCCCTCTCCATCCTCTCCCTCCATCCCCCCCTTCCTCCCCCCTCCCCTCCTCCTCCTCCTCCCCATCCCCCTCCTCCATCCTCCTCCTCCTCCCCTCCCCCACCCCTTCCTCCTCCATCCTCCTCCTCCATCCCCCCCTCCTCCCCTCCTCCTCCCTCCTCCCCCCCTCCTCCTCCTCCATCCTCCCCTCCCCTCCATCCTCCTCCTCCTCCATCCTTCCCCTCCCCTCCCCCACCCTCCTCCCCTCCCCCCCTCCTCCCCACCTTCCTCCCCACCTCCTCCCCCCCATCCTCCCCTCCCCCCCACCTCCTCCCCATCCTCCTCCTCCCCCTCCTCCTCATCCCCTCCTCCCCCTTCCCCTCCTCCCCTCCTCCTCCTCCTCCCCCCCTCCTCCCCCCCTCCTCCCCTCCTCCTCCTCCTCCATCCTCCTCCCCCCCATCCTCCTCCTCATCCTCCTCCCTCCATCCTCCTCCTCCATCCTCCTCCCCCTCCACCCCTCCGTCCCCCCCCCCCCCTCCTCCTCATCCCCTCCTCCTCCATCCTCCTCCCCCCCCCTTTTCCTCCACCCCCCCGCCGTGTCAACTGCCTAGCTGGATGTTATACGCCGACTGAGGCCAGATAGCTCGCCTCACACAAGCTGTACCCGTGAATCATACATCACAGGCCTAAGGGATCTTCTTATAAACCATGGAAGATACATAATGCCAGTTAATTTTACAACACATTTAAAAAGGGGTTTTGCAACTTGCTGACCCTCCCAATCCTCCCCTTTTTCCCCCCCCCTCAATTCCTCCCCCTTCCTCAATCCTCCTCCTCCTCAATCCTCCTCCCCCAATCCTCCTCCTCCTCAATTTTCCCTCCTCCTCCTCAATCCCCTCCTCCTCAAACCCATCACGCGTCGTCATTTTCACTCATCTTTATCTTTACATCATCTCATCATCATCATCATATCATCATCATCATCATCATCATCATCATCATCATCATCATCACATCATCATCATCATCATCATCATCATCATCATCCCAACATCATCATCTCATCATCATCATCATCTCATCATCATCATCACCACATCTCCATCACTCATCATCATCTCCCTCATCACATCACTCATCATCTCACACACATCACATCATCACATCATCATCATCATCATCTCTCATATCTCTCTTCTTCTTCTTCTTCTTCTTTCCCCTTTTTCTTTTCCCTTTTTTTCTTCTTCTTCTTCTTCTTCTTCTCTTCTTCCTTCTTTTCCTCCACATACCCAAAACATTGCTGGGACCCCTTTAAAAACTTTTTATATATTCCAAAACAAGTAAAAGCCAAGGGGGGTAAATGTCCACCTGTCAGTGGTTTTTTGACAATTTAGTACAATTTTAGTACCTAATACAGTGTCAAACAAAAAAGATTTGGTTTTAAAAAAGACAAGAACTACTACAAATTTAATTACACAACATAAAATAAAATAAAAATAGAAAAAGGTATACGACAAAACTCCTGCAAGTGGGAGGACTCGATATTGCTGTCACACAGCATTCCACCCCCCTTGCCACATGTCTCGGGAAGTACTGACCCAATTTTTTTTTTATTCTAAAACAGTAGAAAAATTTTTCTTTTTTCTATAATTTTTTTTTTTCAAAATTTCGGGGCGCTGCTTTATGAACGTATAAACTTTTGGGCCGTTTTTAAGGGTTTTGTATAGATGGGGGGCCAAAGGCTACCTACACCTGACTTCCTACAAAAAATACACTCACCTCCCACATTCATTAAATTACAAATTCTTTAAAAAAAAGTAATGAATTACCCTGTAATTTTACGGTTTGTGTTTTTAATGCCTACTATTACTAACTTAATAAAATTTTGTGAAACTGTTGCTGGCATTTATTTTTTTTTTTTTATTATCACACTGGCTGATTCCCACCAAGGCAGGGTAGCCCGAAAAAGAAAAACTTTCACCATCCATTCACTCCATCACTGTCTTGCCAGAAGGTGCTTTACACTACAGTTTTTAAACTGCAACATTAACACCCCTCCTTCAGAGTGCAGGCACTGTACTTCCCATCTCCAGGACTCAAGTCCGGCCTGCCGTTTCCCTGAACCCCTTCATAAATGTTACTTTGCTCACACTCCAACAGCACGTCAAGTATTAAAAACCATTTGTCTCCATTCACTCCTATCAAACACGCTCACGCATACCTGCGGGAATTTCCAAGCCCCTCGCACACAAAACCTCCTTTACCCCCCTCTCTCCAACCTTTCCTAGGCCGACCCCTACCCCGCCTTCCTTCCACTACAGACTGATACACTCTTGAAGTCATTGTTTCGCTCCATTCTCTCTACATGTCCGAACCACCTCAACAACCCTCCTCAGCCCTCTGGACAACAGTTTTGGTAATCCCGCACCTCCTAACTTCCAAACTACGAATTCTCTGCATTATATTCACACCACACATTGCCCTCAGACATGACATCTCCACTGCCTCCAGCCTTCTCCTCGCTGCAACATTCATCACCCATGCTTCACACCCATATAAGAGCGTTGGTAAAACTATACTCTCATACATTCCCCTCTTTGCCTCCAAGGACAAAGTTCTTTGCCCTCCACAGACTCCTAAGTGCACCACTCACTCTTTTTCCCTCATCAATTCTATGATTCACCTCATCTTTCATAGACCCATCCGCTGACACGTCCACTCCCAAATATCTGAATACATTCACCTCCTCCATACTCTCTCCCTCCAATCTGATATTCAATCTTTCATCACCTAATCTTTTTGTTATCCTCATAACCTTACTCTTTCCTGTATTCACCTTTAATTTTCTTCTTTTGCACACCCTACCAAATTCATCCACCAATCTCTGCAACTTCTCTTCAGAATCTCCCAAGAGCACAGTGTCATCAGCAAAGAGCAGCTGTGACAACTCCCACTTTGTGTGTGATTCTTTATCTTTTAACTCCACGCCTCTTGTCAAGACCCTCGCATTTACTTCTCTTACAACCCCATCTATGGCATTTATATGCATTTATAAATTAAAAAAATGGCGTTCTGCTTTCTGGCGATGTCTGCTTTCCAGTGATAGCCTAGAACCTAGCCCGCCGTGTAAGTGGGGCCCTACTGTAACAACTATAGTTTTACATACAACACAGATAAATACATATACGTATATTATATAGATATGAAAATTAAAATTTAAATAAACCTTTAAATAACATTTACTTACCTTTATTGAAGAGACTTGCTGGCATCTGGAAGATAGGGAGGAGAGAGGGAGGACTTATTGTATGGAAGGGGAATCCCCTTCCATGAAGACTTTAGGTAACAAGTCTTTATCTGGGGCTACTTCCCTTCTTTGTCTTTTAAGGCCACAAGGACCAGCTTGAGAGTCACTGGACCCCTGTCTCACAAAATAACTGTCAAGAGTACTCTGTTTCTGGCATCTCTTTAAGATTTCTCTGAAGTGGGACAAGGTTTTGTCACAGAACATGCTACTGATATGGCTTGTTTCAGCTTGGTCAGGGTGATACTTTTCAACAAAGTTTGCAACTCATTCCACTTTGCACACTTTTCACAGTCACAATTAATGGCTGGCTGGCTGGCTGCCTGGCTGGCTGCCTGGCTGGCTGCCTGGCTGGCAGGATGAGATGGCTGGCTGATGATGCCTGTGTGGGCAGATGGACAGGTCTGGTACTCTGGCCAAAACCTGGGGCAACAGCCAAAATGCGGGACAAAATTTGGCTGAAAAAAGTGGGCGAAACCCGAAGCGGCCGATTCCCAGGGCGGCCAAAACCCAGGGTTTCACTGTACTTCAATTTTCTGTGTTCTTCATTCTGTAGAAGTGTATAAATGCTGTCAATTTAGAGTATTAAATCCTTCCAGGAACTGACCGGCATTGGTGAGCAGAAAGGAATAAACCACCCGGAAATTGACATGAGATATCAGTATACTGCAGAGATTGCACGTAATTATGCCCTGATCTCACTTGGTTTGTCATGCTTCACGTGCAGATCTGTCAGTGATGTGATGATGGACAGTCAAGGTTGGTAACTATATTTACTGATTTCTCTCTGTCTTGTACTGTACTTGTGCATATTTTTGCATGTGACATTAATTAATGCATTTGCATCAGTATGTGCATTTACTCTTACTAACTCTAGGATTAAAAACAATTGAGTTCATGACATTTTTTAATCATACTAAATATTTAACCCATAAACTAGCACCATTGTATATACAGTATACATCTTACTTTTCAACTGGGTACAACATGCATTCATTCATGCATACATACATCATATGTATATTCGTATGCATATACTACATATGCAGACTTCATGGTGCTTTCAGATTTTCCATGATCGATTTTGGAGTTTGTTGTATCCTGATCCCTCTTTGATTTTTTTTTTTTTAGTCTAGTCAGTGCATCATGGGAGTCCCACTGATCCTGTAAGGTTAATTGCCTAGTCGCTACCTCCTTATTTCATATTACGGATGTCTATAGGGTAATATTGGCTATTCCTCACAGGTCTGGTCAACAAGTGCTGTTCTATTCCCACCACAGGGATACATAATAATTTACTTCTAAGGTAATTATGTAAGACTCCTGGCTAGCTACACTGACCAGTGATGGACCTGCCAGTGTAGTCATCAGGAACACAATACAGGATGACCCCGTGTATAGGGCTCTTAGATTCCCAACCCCATGCAATAAGTGAAAATTGCTGGTGGGTTGAAAGGAGTGATTTTTTTCATTATCAAATGCGTCTAAAATGCCTGATAACATGTTTACTCAGTAATACACTACAGCTGAGCATGAAAAAACTGATAAAAAAGTAAAATAAATACACGGTACATGCAATATTTAACTTAAAATATGGCGCTGGTTACTCTTTACTTACGCAGCTGTTGTGCAAAAATGGTGGAAAAGCAGTAAAAGCATCGAACATAATGAACAATGGCTCAGTTGAAAATCTCCAAAAATGTGGAACACTGAAAAGAGGGTGCCAAATACATGGGGCCCTCCTGTATATCCTCTCAATTGTCACCTTAGATTGCTGCCACCACCTGCAAGTGGGGTGTCTACTGCCTTCACAGGCACATTACTACTTTAAATACTTAAGCTACTTCAACAAGGGAGTGAGCTTAGACCAAGTATTACAGTGAGCCTATAGAAGGGAAGGGAATGAACACATGAAATCTTTCACTACATTGTTATTTATCATGAACTGATAAATACATCACCTGTTGGTATAGGCATTATATAAGGCAGATACTAGAGTAATTACACAAATGGGGTATGCATTGCCTTGTGGTTGAGTCCACCTCTGAGACAGGCTGTGTCTGCATGAGGGATAGACTCTTAGTCTAAGCAGAGGATTCAGTGAGTTTGAGCAGAGGACTCAGTGAGTCTGAGCAGAGGACTTGGCGAGTCTGTGAACTCAAAGATGTAACTGGTTCGTGTTCCCTTGTCTAATCTTGACTATTTTAACCCTTTCAATGTCGGTCCCGTAATACTACGCCAAAATTCTAGCTCCTTTAAATCTGGTGGAAGAAAGTTGGTAGGCCTACATATGAAAGAATGGGTCTGTGTGGTCAATGTGCACAGCATAAAAAAAATCCTGCAGCACGCAGTGCATAATGAGGAAAGAAAACCGTGTTTTTGGTTGAAAACGGCAACTTTGCGGTGTATTTTCATATGGTATTTATGGCTGTATTCTCATTTTCTTGGTCTCATTTGATAGAATGGAAGATATATTACAGAAATAAAGATGATTTTGATTGATTTCATGATGAAAAGTACCTTGAAATTGAGCTCAAAGTAGCGGAAATGTTCGATTTTGCCTGTGTTCAAGAGTAAACAAATGACATCACTGTCCAATACGTGTTCAACTGGCCAGTCTGATATGCAGTCACGAATGGGTTGATGGTGTCTGAGGTGACAACAACAATGGCTACTCCTACATCTTTACAGTTCCCTGCCCCTACAACAGTCTTATTATGGCCTAACTGCTTATACTGCTGCACTGACCCACATGGAACCAGTAACAACCAACATAAAGCTGCTAAAGATGTAAAAAACTGACCAAACACGACTAATAGAGGACTGCCCGGCATACCAAACACCAACCTGCTGCCAGACGATATCTCAGCCAAGCAACAGTTATCACTACAATAACTCCATAACAACTCCACTAGTGTTCTCATGGGATACAAGAATAGAAAAAGCAATGCCAAGAAAGACACGAAACTTCCTAGAAAACTGTTACCCATAATGTCTGCTCTGAAGGACGCCAGCGAATCTTCCACCCCCCTCACCCCTGCCCAGACCAACACAGCAACAACAATGGTGGATGACTCCAAAACCTCCGGATTCTCTCAACACTCATCCTCATCCATGATTCACACCCAAGCTGACTTGTCTACAACTACGGATACCACCCAAGACCTCTTCACTGCAAACAGCAACATAGATTACAAAAACTCGTCAACACCCAAAGGTATAGCCCAGGAATTCAGTCCTCAACAACGACCCGACTCCATTGATAAAATTCCACAGGAAAATAGTATGCTAAGACGACAAAACGAACCCTATGAAAAACTCATTATGGACCTTGAGTGCTCACTACATACCCAAAACATGAGAATTAAAGACCTTGAATATCATCTTACAACACAAAACTCAAAGATTAGTGAACTAGAAAACAAACTGACATCATTAATAAACTCGTCTAAAGAACAAGCAAACCTACATTCAATTATAGACACACATGCTAAACAAATAAATTCTCTCACCACCAAGCTGTCAGAAGCTACACAAGACTGGAAGTTAAACATGGAATCCCAGTGGAATGCATGCTTCCAGTATCAAAGGGATATGATTGAACAAGACAAGCTTCAAGACAGTCATTTTAACCAGCTCAACCTTACCACCAGATACAAACAATGAGAATTGCACCATCAAAGCACTCCAACTATTAAAAGATGAGATAAAAGTTAACACTGAAACCAGTGATATCAAGGAGGCCCGACTGCTAGGCAAGCCGGGTCACAAGCAAAGTGTTATGTTAAAATTCAATTCCATTGATGTAAAAAATGATCTAATAAGTTCTTCCATCAAGAAACGGAGTAATGTGTATATAAATGAGTACCTAACTAAAAAACGTTAGAATTTATTATACAGACTTCGAAAACTTAAGCGTGATAATGCATCAATAAAACAGTGCTTTACTAGTGATGGTATTATTGTAGTAAAATTATCAGACACGGGTCGTAGGTTTGAAATAAATGATTAAGAACTAGCATGTTTCCTCTCATTCACTGGTTTGGCTGAACCTTGTTAAGACATATCTCGACACATTATCAACCATGTTCAGTGCTGTAGTATAGTAGAATTCACCCTTATTTTAACCCATATTTTCATGACTGTTAGTGAATAACAGTAATTAATTCCCAGCTACTTAAGACACCTAAGGCTCTATTCAAGGTGCTAATCCAGGTACTTAAGTGTCTTATCCTCTGTCTTATTTTATACTTGAAACCATTACTTTTCACTTTGAAATAATCAAGGTGCTGAGGTGTTTTATTTTAATTTTCAGTAGCTCCATTATTTTTTTAGATTTAAATTAACTATCTTAGTTCATAAGTTAATAATTGTTAGTGGTTTAACATCATTGCTTTGGTCTTTTTGTTCTTTAATAATTGTAACAGCTATGTCTCTACGTACCCCTTATGAATGTAATTATCAATCCTGATATCAACCTCTTATTGAACAGCACACATAGTCCTAACAGTAATTGCCATTACTACACTGCTAGTCAGTGTCAGCAAGAACATTACAGTCTTCAACTACAATGTTAGATCATTGGGTAAACACTATGATGACCTCATTGCACTACTTAAGTCTAAATGCTACTATAACTTTCATTATACTTATTGAAACCTGGCTCAGACAAGATCTGACAGACATATTTACCATACCTGGTTACACAGCCATACATAACTGTAGGCCCCACCAATCAGGAGGAGGCACTGCCATCTATTACTCTGGTGAACTAGAATGTGTGAAGTCAACTAATGTACAGGATGAAAACGGTGAATATATAATAGCTAAACACACACACTTCAATACTTCGGAGAAACTGGTCGATCTCTTTCTGACAGACTTAGGGAGCACAAAAATAGTGTTAGGCTTGCTGACACTAACAATGCTCTTTTTTAAGATCGACAACACTCTAATTACCAGACATAATGAGGGCAAATTCCTAGGCCTATACCTTGACAACAACCTGAATTTCAGCACCCATATCCAACACATAACCAAAAAAGTATCCAAAACAGTTGGGATCCTTTCCAAGATACGATACTACATGCCGCAAAATGCCCTTCTCACACTGTACCACTCACTTATTTATCCATACCTCACCTATGCTATTTGTGCTTGGGGATCAACTGCAGCAACACACCTAAAGCCAATAATAACCCAACAAAAAGCTGCAGTAAGAATAATCACTAAATCCCATCCCTGGCAACACATAGATCTTCATAGATCTAAACTTACTCCCTGTTCAGTACATCCACACTTACTACTGTGCAATCTACATCTACAGGACCTTAAACTCCGATATCAACCTTGACCTAAAACGCTTTCTTGATAGTAGTGACAGAACCCACAGGCATAACACCAGACACAAACATCTCTACGACATTCCCCATGTCCGACTAAACCTTTACAAAAATTCAATGTATGTCAAAGGCCCTAAAATCTGGAACACCCTACCTGAGAACTCTAGAACTGCAGACACATTCATCACCTTCAAAACTACCATTAGAAAACATCTTATCTCCCTCCTCTTCCTCCTCCTCCTCCTCCTCCTGCTGCTGCTGCTGCTGCTGCTGCTGCTGCCGCTGCCGCTGCCGCTGCCGCCGCCGCCGCCCGCCGCCGCCGCCGCCGCCGCCGCCGCCGCCGCCGCCGCCGCCGCCGCTGCCGCCGCTGCTGCTGCTGCTGCTGCTGCTGCTGCTGCTGCTGCTGCTGCTGCTCTA